CATCCGAACGCAAGGAAGTAAGCACAAGATGCCAAACACCCTTAGCACGATGCAGCGCACCCTTCATGCGACTCGCCGAATATCCTACGGAGCTTCGCGCNGTTCTCCACGAATTGACGCGTTGCCCATCGTGCCCCAGATCCGTTGCTGACGACATATATCCTGCTGTGGGGATCCATTCGGGAGCCGTTCATGATGAAGATTCTAGGAGATGACGAATACCTCTGGTCCTACACCAAGGGGTTTGCCCAGCTACCGTCGCCGGCCCAGGTGCGGGTCAACTGCTGTTGCTATCTTCGTTTTTGTTGTCGTCGTCGTCATCGGTGTTGTTCGTGTGCCGGTGTTGATGTTTTGTCATGACTTCCCGGCGTGCCTGGGCAAAGTGTGGTCCCACCAGGTCAACTCAGATGGTGAAACGTGCCTCTTCATGCACCTCTCTAACTGTCTCCTTTTTTTGGCAACCTTCAGCTGAAGGCCAGCCTAGCGGAACAGCTTTCCGTGGATCAGCTGCGGGACGAGTTCCGGCGGTACATCAAAACCAAGGTGGCCCAGGAACTGATAGACTTCTACCTGGACTCGCTAGACCGGGAAGAGGTGGCAGATTTCTTCGAGAGACAGGTAGGTACAAATCCAGGGGGTAGGGGGGGCAGGGATCGCAGCACCGCTCCTAGCGCCGTTGGGAATGAATGATGTATTCTTCCTGGGTTGATTGGGTACGTCGTGGAGATTTTACGGTTGGCTTTGAGGGCGATATTTGTCACGATAGTGGGTGAGGTGTCCCACGAATATGCGTTATGATTCTCAGTGTCAATCAAAACTGGGCCCTGTTTCGGCGCGGAAAAACGCCCCTTGAGAACAGACCCCGCGCTTTTCACGCCTCCTCGTTCAGACTCAACCCCCTTCTTCCCTTCGAAGTCAAACGCGAAAAGCACGTTGCATTGATAGCACTCGAAGAGGTGGTTGGTTTGCTTGTGTGTGTTTGTTTTGTTCCCACGAGCTTTTCCGCAAACATTGTAACAGATGTAGACAATAGAATGCTTTGGAATGGGGTAAGTGCCTAGAAGGGAAGCGCCGAGAAGGAAAGCAAGGGAAGCTGTCTGGGGACCAAGACGTAGCTGTTTATGTCGTCGGTTCCAGGAGCAACAGCCAGCATCGAATCGAGTCATACTTACGCTCGAGTTGTGGGCAGTGGTGGTGCTCGTTTGTTCTTCACACTCGACGAAGAATACAAAACAGTCCCAGCTTGACTTGCCGGAAGACGAGGGACGGAGATATTGATAGGTAGTCTATTGATGACAAGTTTCATCGTTGTCCCTGCCATCTTCGAGGCAGTGGCTTGCGACATTTCCTCCTCTCCCCCAGCAGCATCTTGAAGGGAGCACGAAGGTACCTGTTGTTGGTTGCAATCCGTTTTGTAGTGCTGTCCTCACGTGATCCACTTCGTCGTGGTTGACGTGTTCTCGACGGTTTACTATTATTTTCGTGTGTGTGTTCTTGTTTTCACTCGTTTCGTGATTCGTCCCGTCTCTCGTTCCTTTTGTTTTTGTGCTCAGGCGGCCACCATGCGCATCGTGGACCAGTACATCAAGGAGGGAGCCAGAGACCAGGTAGGAGTTGCCCACCCCGAACGAGTCTGGCATTTGCGGACGGGGTTCTAGAAGCGGGAAGGCGATAAGTAACCTTGCACAATGTGCAGGCTGGCTGCACATGCCAGTTTTGACATTTGCCATGGTTTTCACCCTGTATTCTGACCTATGGCTTGTTCCGCAGGGGTGCCATGAAAACCAGAGTGTGACGAGGTGGTTTGCTTGAGGACTTCTTAACATTGTGTGACAATAGCGTCGTGTACGGTTGGCGTATGCATAGACCTTTGTTCAATGACTTTTACCCGTGTGGGGAATCGCCTCAGGTCAACGTTTCGGGAGCATGCCGAGAGAAAATTCTCGCGACGGATGTGACCGCGTTCGACATCTTCGACGAGGCGAGGGCGGAGGTCTTGGCAGTCATGGAGGTGATGACTAACAACACGACTGCGTTCGAGGATAACATACAGGCAGAAAAAATCCAAGTGTCTCGTGGTGTTCTTCCCCTGGAATCTCATGATCCTCTACCCCTAGAATCTCTTGGTTTTCTATTTTCAAAAGAAGCTTCCACTTTGTGTGTGCTTTTGTGCCTGTGCGTGTTGAGACAAGCCCCCTCTCGGCCTCGGTGTTTGGCGCGATCATTGCGTGGGGTGCTCACACAGCATTCGACACACAAGTAAATTAGGTGTGCGTGGCACGCGCCCGTATTTTTGACGTGCGGATACCCATACCTTGAAGACCTGTCTTGGCGGGAGCTTAACTTGCGCGTTTTGGGTGGCGCTCTCCGAGCATTATTTCTCTCTCTCCCCCCCCCCCCCCCCCCCCCCCCCCCCCCCCCCCCCCCCCCCCCC